ACACCCACACCCATTACAAGAAAATACGGATCATTCTTGTATTTTCTTAATTGGGAACAGAATTTCATTTGCTGAGCAAGCAGCTATTAAGCGAGTCATGTCTGATTTTTTTTTTTTTTGCCATGGTTGTTAAGTGAATCCCTGCAGTTGTTAAGTGAAAGCAGTTAGTAAGCGAATCTAGCTTTCCCCATCGATTTCACTTGTTGGAAGCTAGCTGGATAGATCAGGATGTTGAAACTGTCTTAGATATATGCCCGTTGCCAGGCAGCCAAATTTTGATCATGTGACTGTGGGAATGCTGTGACAGTTGTGTGAGGACCAATCGCAAGTCACTTTCTTCAGGGTCGTTGTAATGTCAAACGATCATTAAATGTATGGTTTTAAATCAAGGACTAGTTACACAAACAATTCTGGGGCCACTTACTAATGTGAAATGACTACATCCCCACTGGTTACAGCTCTTTGCTTCGCCAAAAAATTGTGGTATTGTTCTGCCCCAGCTACGGGTCCCAAGAAGTGTAGCACACACACAGCTCCAAAAACTCTGTTTAATACAAACAGATCCCTTTCAAAATGCAGGCTTTAACCACAAATGTCCTTATCAGCCTGCTATGAATTACAGAGATTAAACAAAGTCCGACAAGGATTGGCAATCAGCCCAGAAACGAAGTTGTAACAAAAAACTCACTCTCAAAATGCTCTGCGTAGGACCAAGCGTTGTTTCCAGCAACATTTGCTATCTGTGTGCGAACTTAAATAGGCTAAGGGAGTGGCCAATTACTCTCAAGGAGACCTCCTCCTGAGTAGCCACTCCTGCCTTTTGGCAGCCCTGTGTGCTCGAGCATTGAGAAGAGGCTCCTCAACTTCACTCTCTTCACTTGAAGGAGCCTCTGGAGGTTCTGAAGGCCCTGGCTGAGTCTCTGCCTCTGGCACCACATCCTCTTTAGCCTCCTCGCTGTCCAACTCAAGCGCCGGCTGCACAGGCTGCTGGTGTGACACCACACCAGCCTCCTCGTCATCGGGATCAGCCACAATCTGTGTAGGCTGCTGGCAGGCCACAACAGGTATGTCCCACCTCTTGGCTACTCAAATGTCCTGGGTTTAAAATAGGGGCTTTTACAGTTCTTCATATTACAGAACTAGAGCTCCTGAAGTAGAGGCAGACCTCTAGTAATAGAAAACTTGCTCACTTTGTTCAGTCCTTTCTGTAAGTTATCGCCCAAACGCATCTATAGTGGACCGCACCAAAAGCATAACTCTAAATTTCATTACATCAGAATATTATTGTAGCTACTGAGCTGTAAGGTGGCTATTGTGTAATATGTTCTTTTTAAAAAAAAAAATCTGACAAAGTTCACTGACACATTCCTGGGAGATTTTTTTCCTCCCTCAAGTTAAGTGACAGAATCAACTTTTCAACCAGAAAATTGGAGGTGACAATAAGAAGGATTTCTATTTGGATCAAATAAATCTCCTGTATATTGTCTTTTCCTCGATGCTATAACTGGCAGGCTCCAAGGACATGCCAGCCAGTGCCAAAAGTTATTATCTCTCTCCTGGGCACATAACAAAATCGCAAACTGTCATAGAAATCTAAAATGCTTTGTTTTACTGTCATAGCAATTTAGCATGTTTCACAGTTTCACATGTGCCTTGCAAAGCAATAGAAGGGGAAATGAGATGGGACAAAACTGAACTTTGTTCAATATGAGTAGAAAATGGTTGATTTCTCAGGAGGCACCACTCGGTTCTGTAAATGAAGTGTTGCCAAACTGTAGTGCAAGAATGTGGGCAACTAGAAAACTATGTTTATAGTGAGCAACTAGAAAACTGTGTGTATAATCCAGTGGTGGGTTCCTCCTGGTTCAGCCCGGTTCCGCCGAGCCGGTAGTGGTGATGATATGACGTCAAAAACAAATGAGTAGACCAGTGCCTGCAAAAATACACGAGTAGACTGGTGCCTGCAAAAATAAATGGGTAGACTGGTACAGCTCTGCAAGCAGTTAAAAGCCTGGTAGACCAGTACCTCTGCTAAATCCTAAAGAATTGTCACATGACCATCAAGCCACACCCACAAAATAAGCCATGCCCACAGAACCGGTAGTAAAAAAATTTAGAACCCACCCCTGGTATAACCACAATTGGGATTAGAATTCCCAGTGCTAAACAAGGCAGTTGTTAAGTAAGTCACACCTGATTTTACCAGCCTTTTTTTGCCTCCAATGTTAAGCAAATCACTGTAGTTATGTGAATCGTGCAGTCATTGAGTGAATCTGGCTTCCTCCATTTATTTTATGGTCAGAAGCCAGCTGGGAAAATCACAAATGGCGATCACGTGATTGCAGGACACTGCAACTGCATAAATACACACCAGTTGCTGAGCAGCTAAGAAAGTTTGATCACATGACTGTAGGGATGGTCATAAATGCAAAAACAGGTTGTAGGTCACATTTTTCAGTGTTGTTGTAACTCCAGATGGTCAACAAGCAAATGATTTTAGGTCAAGGACTACCTGTATGCAATTTCCAGTCTCTGTTATGTTGCCCACAGGGGTCTGCTTCACAATTTGTTATTGTTAATTGTGACATCATCTCCAACCCATCACGACCCATGGACAACTTTCCTCCAGGCCTTCCTGTCCTCTACCATCTGCCAGATTCCATTTAAGCTCACACCAACTGCTTCAGTGACTCCATCCAGCCACCTCATTCTCTGCTGTCCCCTTCTTCTTTTGCCCTCAATCATTCCCAGCATTAAGCTCTTCTCCAGTGAGTCCTTCCTTTTCATTAGGTGGCCAAAGTATTTGAGTTTCATCTTCAGGATCTGGCCTTCTAAAGAGCAGTCAGGGTTGATCTCCTCTAGGACTGACCAGTTTGATCACCTTGCAATCCAAGGGACTGTCAGGAAATTTCTTCTTAGTTCTAGGTTGCTTCTCCTAGCCTTTCAATATTCTGCCCTAGCCAATTTCAATAAAAGTGGTGTTAATCTTCCTGTGGAGTTGATTTCTTATTCTCGTCTACGTAGTGCATCTGAGAGTTACCTAGTTTCCATACATTTATTTGTGCATGTAATCCCCTTAGTCTATCCAAGGGCACCAACTAATGCAAACATATATTAGAATAACATGTTAGCTAGTAATAACATTAAAATTATAGGAATAGGATGCATGCCTCAAGTGTAGTTCTATCAGTGTGCTATTATGAGCAAATTTAGAATGGGGAAAGCAGACTAGTTGAAATCAGGATTCCTAAAGCAGAAATGAGCCTGTAATTCCTCAAATCCTGTTGAAATGCTAAATTCATCCCTTTTAAATATTTTGTACTGCTGGGGGACTTAAATGAAGTGTTGTCCTGTACCATGAGTTTACGATTGAGACATGTTCTGTCCTGGCCAGCTTCTTTGAAAGGCTACACAAGATACCTGAAGGCCAGACAAGGAATAATGGATGGAAACTGACCAAGGAGAGATTCAACCTAAAAACGATGAGGAACTTTCTAACAGTGAGAACAATCAACCAATGGAACAGAAGTTGCCTTCGGAAGTTGTGGGAGTTTCATCACTTGAGACTTTCAAAAAAAGATTGGACTGCCATTTATCAGAAATGGTGTAAGGTCTCCTGCTAGAGCGGGGGGTTGGACTAGATGACCTATAAGGTCCCTTCCAACTCTGTTAATCTGTTAATAATTTTTTTTGAGGGGGGGGGCGTGGAATACCAAGGAACAGGAGAAGCAAATTTTCTGAATTCAACTCTGGTATTAATAAGATCCTGGGAAGACTAAGAGTAATGTCAGAAGCCTGCAACTTGACTGCTGCTATGGAGCTGATGAATTTCTGTTTGACTGCCTGAAATGAAAGAGTTTGTTTGCTATGGTTGGTTTGCTGAGTATTAGCATACAAGTACTAAGTGAATGAGCTTTTGTTTATATGTAGATGGGGAGCTTCAGGGTCCATGTAAAATATTATATACACTTTCAGAAGGGAAAAAAATGAAACCTCTCCTTTGCCAATCTTTCTGCAAAGTTGGCTGGTTCGTAGTGGTTAGCATGGATCTACTCATGCTATCCCCATCTACTCTTGCTGAATCTGATATGAAAAACAAGGGAACGAGAAGCACATAAAGAATTGCCATTAATAGATTTTTTTTTTTAAAATAATAATTTTGCTGCAACAGAACATTTTTGCTATTTTGAATTCTGTGAGATTCTGTGAGAGCAACTAAGATTCAATTCTGAGACCATCTTCTGGGTGATGGACATTGTTCCAAATTTACAGTTAGTTGGCAATCAGTTTCAGAATGCTTGGTATTTTATGCTTAAAATTTGCAAACCAATTGTGTTCCTTCCTTCCTTCCTTCCTTCCTTCCTTCCTTCCTTCCTTCCTTCCTTCCTTCCTTCCTTCCTCCCTCCCTCCCTCCCTCCCTCCCTCCCTCCAGGTTAGGGAGTTGAAAACAGCAAGAGATTGTTCCAAGTTTGGCTGTTTCCTGCATACAGTAGTAATGCAGTTTTTAAAAACAAAGATCTTGCTTATTTATCTTCTCTGTTTCATTGTTCTGCTTGTAATTGCTTTGTTGTATTTTTTTTCCCCATGTTCTGTTATAGTACAGGGTCGTGATGCTATTTAAAACTGACTGCATTTGGTTTTGCTTTGTACACGCAGGCTCCCCTCCCAGATTTCTATTGACTCAAAGTCCTTTGCAAGGGTGATGTTGTATGATTGCAAAACAATTAGTCTCAGGGTATTACTGCAAACAAGACAATAACCAGGAATAAGCTAGTGATGAATGTCAGTTCAATGCATTGTCTCTCTGAGTCTCTCTCTCTTTTTGTAATGTGTTTTCTCCTGCTGAGCTACCTGAATGCCTTGTAGGCAGTTATTATATTATATTCTTTCCTTCCCCCCTGTTTTTCTAGCAACAATTTGCATCTTTACTTCTTTTTTAGAGCAAAGGGAGTTAAGACTTTCATTCTTTTCTCTCTCTCTCTCTCTCTCTTTCCCTCTAGGTTCACAATAGAACAGGAAATTGATCTGAAGGATGCTTTGAAAGGGGTTGGAATTACAGAAGTATTCAGCCAAAGTGCTGATCTCACTGCAATGTCTGGTAAGCGGCTTTTTGTGATTTAGGTTATTGCAGCACTGCATTCATTTTCTTCCGCGATAATTTGAAAACTTGGCCCAGAAAAACCTGGCCCACAAATGTTTTAGTTAATTAATTAATTAAATTTCTAAACCAGTATTCTCAAATAGGCACAAAGTGGTTGGGGGGGTGGGGGGTGGGAGGCAATTTTTGGCTTGACCTAGGCTGTCCTGCAAGATGTCTACCAGCTTTCCCTACTCGGGTAGTCTCTAAACTGTTGGATGCCAACTTCCAGAACTTGGAAATAGATGGGAATTAGTAAGTGGACGTGGGAGTGTCTGGAATGCAGCAATCATTTAGTCCCAATTTAACAAACTGTTTGGAGGAGACCAATTGGTGACAGTCTTTTTTGGAAATGTTCATTAAACTCAAGGAGTCTACCTTATTTTGTTGGATTAAAAGACCTCCACTGTCCCTTCCAACTCTATTATTCTGTTATTCAGGTTTTTTCTCCCTTTTTTTCTGGTCCTTTTATATCAGAATTCAGGTTTGGTGCTGATTTTAAACAAGGTGTGTATTCACCAGTTTTACTTGGAATAGCTTTTATTATTTAAAAATGTCATTTTTCATTACAAAAGCAAAAAGACTGCTTTCTAATTTACCGCCATTGTCTCTATCTGATATTTTTTTAAAATTTCTGAAAGCTATTTTAATCTTCCAAACCATATTCTGTTTGCTTTATCTCCACTCTAACTTCTATTTGACTTTTCTTCATAAGCCCCATCTGACTTCTTTACTATCTGTGCTAGCTTCAGGCTATCTATCTGTCTGTCTGTCTATCCATGCATCCTAATCCCAATCCTACATACAACCAACTACTTCTCCTTTGGCACCTTATTTATTAAGAAAATTTATATGGCCACCCAACTCACTCATGGTGACCCCAGGCAGCTTACAGAAATAAATGCTGTACAAGTCTCCCTTGTCACCTGCTTCAGCTGAACTTGACCATTGGAACTGCTCTGGTACTGCTTGACATCACCACGAAAGTGTAGTGCTGGCTCTTGCTTCATCTCTAGCTCTTACTCTCTGACTTTGGCTTTATGTGAACTGTTTTGACTTCTGAGGAAATTGGCCAATCTAATCCCCTCGGGATTGACCTGGCCTGGTTTGGCACTTTCCTGTAATACAACAATTCCTGGCTCTCTTTAAATTCCCATTGCTACTGTAAGACCAGCTTCTTCAGGTCTTCCATGTCTTGGTGTTGCTGCTTCCTTTTCCCAGTTGTCTGGTTTTCTTCTACTTTTCTTGAGTTGTACTGTCTTTTTCTCTCTTTAGCTGGGTTAGCTGCTGATTGGATGGGTTTCATCCAGGGGTACTATTTAGCAGGTTCTGACAGGTTCTGGAGAACCGGTAGCGGAAATTTTGAGTAGTTCAGAGAACCGGCAAATACTACCTCTGGCTGGCCCCAGAGTGGGGTAGGAATGGAAATTTTGCAATATCCTTCCCACAGCAGTGGGGAGGGAATGGAGATTTTGCAGTATCCTTCCCATGCCATGCCCACCAAGCCATACCACGCTCACCAAGCCACGCCCACCAAGCCACGCCCACAGTAAAAAAATTTGAATTATACCACTGGTTTCATCTAGTATGACTGACTGTAGGCTCTGACTGACTTTGATTCCAATGCCATCAACCCAGACTTCTTGAGATTCTGTTAAGCCTCCTTCTTTAAATACAGTAACTGGCTTCCTTTGAAAGAGAACAACTTCTTAAGCTTTCAGGGGAACAGAACAGAAGAGAAATTGTGTTGTTTTGTTTTTCCCCTTTGCACATACCCTCTCACAGTCAGAGCTCTTTCTATACCTAAGAGCCACGGTGGCGCAGTGGTTAGAGTGCAGTACTGCAGGCTACTTCTGCTGCCTGCCGGCTGCCTGCAATTTGGCAGTTCAAATCTTACCAGGCTCAAGGTTGACTCAGCCTTCCATCCTTCCGAGGTGGGTAAAATGAGGACCCAAATTGTTGGAGGAGATATGCTGACTCTGTAAACCGCTTAGAGAGGGCTGTAAACTAGTGTAAAGCGGTATATAAGTCTAAGTGCTATTGCTATTGCTAAAGTATATGAATGTCTGCTTGCTGATTATCACACTGAGGGAGTCAGTTCAGGGCTAATGGGTTGGTTCTTCTTGCTATCTGTGGAACTCTTACTAAATATCTCCTGATCCATAATTCAGTAACGTCTGCCTCTTTTCTCCTACTTTTTTTCTCAATGTGCAGCTTTACCAATGGGGAAAAAATGATTTACAAATTCTGACCTTTGTTTTTGATTTTGTCTTAAGTGTAAAGTCTTTTCTTCTTTCTAGGATTAGTCTTGTTTTTCTTCCTGCAGCACACAGTCCATTTTTAACTACTGACGAGCCCAAGAAAATTAAAACTATCTGCACTTTAACTTCTTCTCTGTAGATTGTGAATTCAATAAGCATGCTGATTGATACTTCCTTGCCTTCTTAATATTTAACCTTAACCCAGATTTCTCATTTTCCATTTTTACTTTCATAATGAGCTTTTCTAAGTCTTCATTATTTGAGCTAATGAAATGGAAGTGTCTGCATAACTTAAAGTATTAGCGTTAATTTTGTAAGTGCTTTTAATTCTTAGTATTAATTTTGATTCCAACTGTCATCCCTTCAAATCCTATCACGCTTTTAATATATTTCATGCAGAAGTTAAATAGGTATGAGGAGATGGAATTCATTTTTATCACATTCTTTTTCTAGTTCTGAACAGTTCTTTCTCCAGATTTTACTGTAACAATTGATATCTGCTGTGTTAAAACTATTTGTAACCATCACACATGCCTATTTATTTATATGGGGTTCATAATCACATGGCTACATTAGAAAGGTATCATAGAGTCCAAATTCCTGCAAAATGTCCTTGAATGGCTAGGTCGACTGGACATTAACATTTGAAACATTATAAGTCCATCTATTTGCCATACGCCATAAATCCTACAAAATATATTTCAAGATACTTGCTTTGTTTCAGGAAATAAATGTCACCAAAATTGAGCAAGCTCTGGCTAAGCATCTTTCCATAATGGCTAAGGATATACTTTGACCAAGTTGAATTGGCCTCCTTAATGCTAACTCATCCTTTTAATTCTAGCTGGGAAAAAATAATTTGCCAAGAAATTGCATTTTGATGGCTTTCCAGTGAAACGATATTGATTCTGGGATATGAAAAGACCAAACATGCACTTAGACAACTAGTACTATACGTGGAAGCCCAAAATGTACAGTCCTCCCTTCCTAGAGAATGACCTGCAAATATTTGTTTTTTGCAAAATGAAACACCACATCAAACTACAGTTCCAATATTCAGAAGAGTATAATCCTTAACTCATTTGAATGTCCTTCACAGAAAGGAAAGTCTGTCATAGAAGGGAAAATCAAGAAAAAATTATATATTTTATTTCTCTCCAACTTATTTTTATATCCCGCCTTTATTATTTTTATGAACAACTTAAAGTGGCAATTATATCCAACATACTTTCCTCCTCCTATTTTCCCCACAATAACAACCCTATGAGGTAAATTGGCTTGAGAGAGAGAGTGACTGGCCTAAAGTCACCCAGCTGTCTTTCATAGTTAAGGCGGGACAAGAATTCATAGTCTCCTGATGATTGGCCCAAAGTCACCCAGTCAGCTTTCATGGCTGGTTCCAATGTTTTACTGCACTCTATGACCATAACAAACTTAGCTATATTTCTTCATTTGTTAACGTTCTTATTGAAATATCTTTCCTTGCCCTTTCTGGTTTGATGTTGAAAGTCTGTTTTTAATTATCATATACTTTTATTATTTCCCAAACGTTTGTTCTCCATCGTGATTTCTTGTCTTGGATCTTTTCTTCTTTGAAATTGTGGACATAATCTTTTTCTGTTGATTTTTGTGATAGCTCTTTCCTGAGATTCGGTGTTCATAATTTGTATAACAAGTCTGTTGATAACATCAATCTTATATTCTGATGATACGTTGTACAGATCAAATATTTCTGGCACATCTACTTTTCTTAATTTTCTCATTCTAACCAATATAATTTATGCTAATAATTCATACCTGCTTCCAGACGTGTGCCTAGAAATGTTCCAGTTTATTAGTTTTCAGTTGTCTGTCTTTTGTATCCATTATATAAAAGCCCTTATTGTATGTGATCTGTGTCTCTGAAGATTTGATGAAAGTCTATGTTTAGACTGGTGGGATAGAGATCTTGAAGTTAAGAGAAAGGGGGTGGAAGTAAATCAGAACAGTTCACTCCTCCTCAGGTGAGAAACAAGGGGAAGGGTGTCACTGATTGAGAGATTTTCCTATTGCCTGCTGGATGAGAAAGAGAATTGGAAGGGTGAAGGTATGGAAGAATAAGGTGTGCTGGGTGCTATTAGCTGTTCCATTATATTGTTTTATTGTGTGATAGAGCTCTTTGAGAGGAGTGGGGTGGAGAGAGAACAAGAGATGGAGGTGATAGATTCTGTAAGAGAGGAAGCAAGAACATCATGGTGGTGATGGACATGGAAGATATGGTAAGAGGCAGGGACTTGCTCTTCTTGGGGAAGGTTGCCCTGGAATTTAGCATCAGTACCACATTCCATCAAGGGCTTGGACATCAAAACATCACCATCCCTGAGTTTTATTTGTGCTTCTAAATGCCAGATCGGTCTGTAATAAGATGTTCCTCATCCACATTTTTTAGCAGAGAGTTCTTCTCTAGGGAATGTGGTTGACTGTAGAGACAGAGACAGGCAAGATCCATTACCAAAGTACAAGAGAAAAAGTGACATTTTAAGTCCATAGCAAGCACAAAATATGCAGAAGAAGCTCAGACACACACCTACTTAATTTACATAAATGTAAGAGGGAGAGAGGATACAGTGTAATGAGACGTGCAAGATGGTCCTTAGCTCTACCGTGTAGGCCAGACAGGAACTAATTGGCTAAAATTACATTTATTGAGAGTAGCTATAA